CTCGAATTACTCTCAGAATAGCTTAGAAAATGAGTTTTCAGGGATAAGGATGCTGGCTCAGTGGCACAGCACTTGCCTACCATGCACAAGGGATGTAGCTTATAATCTAGTGGGAAAGGCAGGCATTAAACAAATAACCTTGTAATAATGATGTAATTCCAGTTGTTACATGATACTAGTGAAGAAATGCAAAGGGCTAGGAATGGATGTGACAGGAGACCATAACCTGGAAAGGGAGCATGACCTGGCTTCCCTGAGGTGGATGGATCCTAACTCCTCCTCCTGTAGGAGTTATTAAGGCAAGATAAGTGTGTTCCAGCAGGCATGATGCAAGATGATAATGACATGAGCAGCAGAAACAATGGCACCATATTTTTATTGTTGTAAAATATAATCAACAAACTGTTCCAACAATTTTAAATTATAAAATTGAGTGGCATAAAGTACATTCATATTGGTGTGTAACCATCACCACTCTCTAGTTCCAGAACACACACCATTCCAAAAGGAAATCCTGTACCCATTCCCATTAGGTAGTCACTTCCTATTTCCCCCTCTCCTTAGCCCTGTGTAACCACTGATCTATTTTTGAACTCTGTGGATGTTCATATTCTGGATATTTTACATAATTAGGATACAGTATTTGTCCTTTTGTGTCTGGCTTTTTTAAAGAAGGATGTATCAGAGCTTCTTTTATGGCTGAACAATACTCACTGCATGAATATACCACATCTTGCTTATCTATTCATTGGTTGATGGGCATGTGGATTGTTTCCACCTTTTTGCCATTGTGAATAATACTGCTATGAACATTCATGGATACATTTTTATTTGGACATCTATTTTTAATTCTCTTGGATAAATACATAGGAACAGAGTTGCAGAGTCCTATTATAACTCCATGTTTCACTTATTGAGGAACTAGAAAATGGCATCACTTGACTGTTGAAAAGAAAAACTCAACAACCAAAATACAATGAGTATACAGTATATATAGTTGCAGCTTAAAACAATACACATTTATAGTGCCCATTTCCATGGCTCAGAGTCTGGTTACAGTTTATCTGGGCCTCTGCTTAGGGTGTCACGGGGCTGCGGTCCAAGTGTTGCATTGTCATCTGGAGCTTGGAGTCCTCTCCCAACCTTGTTCAGGTTGTTGGAAGAACTGATGTTCCTCACCACTATAGTACTGCAGTGCTCAGCTTGTAGAGGCTGCCCCTCTCTTTCCAACCTTGCTGTTTGCTTCCTCAAGACCAGCTAGAAACGCTCTGTCTCCTCAGGACAGACCCAGTCTTGCTTTTAATGGTTTTCATTTGATTAAGTCAAGGCCAGTTAGGATCATCTTCCTTTTGATAAACTCAACATCAACTGATATGAAAACTTAATTATATCTTGAAGCTTTGTTTTTATACATTATGATAAGCAATTTGGCAAGGTTAGCGACAAAATGAATCTTATTCTCAAGGAAGAGAATCAGAATGAGTTATTCAGTGCATAGCCATCATTATAGTTTAAAAAAAAAACCAAATGCTGTTTTCTATTGGTGAGTTCAGGACTAAACATGAACCTCCTGAAGTCTGAGGCTGATCTGTTTATCACAGCCCCCACTCACCACTGAGAATGTGGTACCCTCATCCAACTATGAGTGTCTTGAGGACAAGGGTTTGTGTAAATTATCTGTCATCCCAGTGCCTGGTGCAGTCTATTTTGTTGGTAGAAGGAAGTCAGGAATGCCACCTAGACCCCTTGGACAGATGGTCTTGGGTACAGTCACTGTTTGCCATGCCCCTGCAGTGCATTGAGTGACTCACCTCTCCCCTCACAGCACCTCCTCTGCATCATCCATCACTTTAGGTGGCACCACCATGGTCACTCAGTGACAAGCAAACCAGTGTACAGCACGTTTCACATAAACAATTGGCAAATCACAGGAACCAATGTGTGCTGACCCACATGTCCTGATTCTTGTTCTGAACAAAATAATCGCCTTTATTTTGAGCAAATCTGTAGTCTTCAGGCATTTGCCTTCTCTGCTGTAAAGTGGGAAAACTAGTACTGGTTTCTAGTCACCTCACAGCACTGTAGGGAGAGTCAAAGGTAGATGTATGGACATCCCTGGGCTTGTGCAGTTCTCACCAAGTGGGCAGTGACTGGGCATGATCTCCTCTGGAGCCTGTCACTGCTGTTGACATTGAGAATACCAGAGTGGGAACAAACGCTGTCCTTGTCACAGGCTCAACTACAGGGACCTCTCTTTCCCTATGCTGGCAGCTGAGGCTAAGTTCTTGAGATCCCCGGGCCACCTGTTGTGAAGTAAAGGACAGGCAGTATGTAAGGCAGCCTTCAGAACTAGGCAGAAGGCCAGGCTTGAGTGGAAGCACTGATAGAGGGCAAGCACAGAAGTTTGCAAGCAAATGTTTTCTGTGGACCTTTGAAAACATACAGTCTTGCTGCTAAAGTAGACAAAGCACCAATAGGAGGCCTGCCTGAAAATTCCTGCTCTAATGCATTATCAGCTAAAGAAGATTCTAGAACTAGAAAGACATGGTGAGCACTTTCCCAAGGAAGCTACCCTTGAAGTCCAGACAGATAGCAACAGCCTTTGAAGCTAGCTGGGAACTTATAAAAGTCAGTGTTGTTTCCACTGAGGCAGAATGGTAGGTTGGCATAATGGTGTCCTTATTCTGTAAGCCTCAGACGTTGTGTGAAGGGGTAAGTGAGCCTGTAGGCTCTAGGAGGTGGGGTGTGCTTGGCAGAAGGCACATGCTTTCAGCCTGCCTCTGGGAAGATGGTGTGGTCAAAGTTGGGAGTCTGCTTCAAATCTCTTCCTAGGATTGCGAAACCATACCAAGACAACTTTTTAAATTTAACCATGGCTGATAAGTTTCTAAAGGAGTATATCTGCTGTCCTACTTGATGGCTTTTAGTGAAATATGGCTTGATCTTTGAGCTCATAGAGATAAAGGACAGATGAGGAGAAATGGATAAGGCCATTATTTTTTGGCCTTGGTTTTTTTTTGGGGGGGGGGGTGTTACTGAGGATCGAACTCAGGACTTTGCATTTCCAAGAGAGGCGAGATGCCACTGAGGTAAATCCTCAGCCCAAGGCCTTTTTTTTTTTTTGTATGGGGGACCGAACTCGGGACCTTGTGCTTGTGAGGCAGGCAGTGGAACCACTGAGCTAAATCCCCAGCCCAAGGCCATTATTTTTAATCGGAATGAGAATGATGATTATTTTTTAGTGAAGTGATTCCTGTTACAAAGAAGTCAGTAAGCTAGTTGTACCTGCCAGAGGCAGCTTATTGGACAAGTATTAGGAAACGAAGCCCCCAAATTGGACTTTAGCGTAGCCTTGGCCAATTTCAGGATGCCTATGGCATTGAATCATACATGCTTACATCAGGGACCACATCCAAACTTCGGAATCATCTCCTAGGCCAATGAAGCTATGCTGGCATTTGAATTACAACCCTGGCATCATCCCAGGGCATTTTTGTCAGTCCTCGTGCTAGGAAACAATTCCACTAGGCCTTGCAGAAGCTGCATGGTTCAATGATGTTTCAATGAAGAGGCGTGAGCCCCAGACCTGGCTCTGTTGGCAATTAATTGTCATTCCAAGTAAATCCTTCAACTAATCTGTGTCTTGATTCTTCTGCTGTTAAAAAAAAACTATAAAATTTGATGATTTATTTCCTTCCAGCTTTAAAAAATAAAAAGGTTGGTTTCTTAGCATTCAACAAAGAATCATTGTGGATATGCAAATAATCTAATTTTGCAATTGTCTTTAGCCTGAAAGAGATCTTAAAGATCATCTACACTAAGCCCTTCATCATACAAGTGAAGAAACCAAGGCTCAGTGAGGAAAAGGGATTTGCTCAACTATTGCATTAAAATATCAAATAATATAGAAGAGCTTGTGCTAAACAACAGTTCTCTGCCCCACCTTGCCCCACTCCCAGTCTCACTCCACAAAGGCACTTGACAGATTTTGTTTTCAATTCATCTGATGGTTACTTTTGTGTCTCTAAATAATGTTTCTGCTCCTATTTCTTGATTTATCCAATTTGGACCTTATCTATCAACTTTCTACTATAAAACTGAAGATTTAGCTTACTTAACGTTACTCACAAATTCTCCCTTTCCTCCACCTCCCCATGTTTGACAGTATTACTTATAGGAGATTTTTTATTCATTTGTTAATATAGCATATAGTAAAATTTACTTTTTACATGTACAGTCTATAAGTGTAGACAAATTGTAGTCATGTAACTACTATGACAATCACTATATAGAACAGTTCCAAGGTAATCACTCCTCTCTCCCTTACTCTCAACTGGACAGCCACTGATTGGTTTTATGTTCCTACAATTTTGCCTTCTCCAAAATGTTATAGAAATGGTATCATATAGTATACAAGCTTTTAAGATCGTGTTTTTCTCACTCAGTATAAGCCTTTTGAGATTCATGTATCAGTAGTTCATTCTTTTGTATTGCTGAGTAGTATTCCATTGCATGGATGTACCACACTTTATCCATTCACTACTTAAAAGATGTTTGGGCTATTTCCAGTCCAATAGTATTTTAGTGATTTCATTGGTTACTTTTTAACTTGAAATCATATCATTAAGCCTTTATTTCTTTCACCATCATCCACCATATATTAAATAGGTCTTCCTTTTCAATATAATAAATGCTTTTCACTGATTTCAAAACATAACACTAGCTTTTTTGTCAGTTTTAGATGGATTTGTGGGTGTAATTTCTCATGGGAGTGAGAAGGTTTGTTTAAGTACCATCCAGCACCTCTATTCAGGGCTCCAGCCATTATAATGCCTCCTGTAGGATAGGGAGCCTTCTCTAGTAGCAGGCGTACTTGTTGCTGGGAAGATACCCGTGTAGTTTCTGTTCTGACCGTTGCTAACTCAGGCAGTAATTTTTGGGAAAAAGACTTTTTTTCGTGTGGATTTCAGCTTTTGTCTGTCATGCTTTTTCTGTTCCAGCTGCCTGCACTATTGAACACAAAGCCACATTTCAAAGGAGACTGACAAATTATCCCCAGCTGCCAGAAGGAGGTTAGTTTTCTGTGTGTTCTGTGTCCCTCTTCTCTGATAACCAACAGGTTAATTTTCTAAAAGAAACTGACAAAAGCAGAAATTATCCTTTCACCAACTGGGATGCTTTTTTCTTTCTTTTGAAAGATGTAGATTTCTAGTATTTCTCTCCACTCCTAAATTACACCAGGAAATATGGTGTGAATAATTACAACTGAATCTGCTTTTTTGCAAGATTCACATTAATGGATTCTTTTTTTAAAGTTCTTACAAAAATCTAAATTATTTTTCTAATTAGCAAGCATGCATGATGTCTTCTTTCAATGAGTAGCCATTTAAAGGCTGAATGCTGTCAGCCCTGGGCTTGAAGATTTATTCACGTTTGTTATTATCTTTACATGTCTTTATCTGTCAAGCACCTGGCATAACAGGGATGAGTCCAATACCTAGCACAGTACCCTACATATAGTAGCTGCTCAGGAAATGTCATTTGAATTAAAATGGTACAAAATAGTGTCATGTATATGTGGTATATATGATGGTGAACTATTCTATATTGATGCAGTGAGTCAGGCTTTCTCAAATACTAATGGGAAGGCGAATTGTTGCAACTCCTCCCATAAGGTAACTTGGAAAAATGTGCCAGAACCTTAGCAATGCTCTTACACTTTCACTCAGTGATTCTCTTTCAAAGGAATTTATCCTTTTTTTTTTTCTGGTGCCGGGAATTGAACTCGGGACCTTGTGCTTGCCAGGCAGGCACAGCACCACTGAGCTAAATTCCAGGCCCCTGAATTTATCACTTTTTAATGTTTAACAAGATGAAAATGCTAACAATTCTTATTTAATCATTACACATTGTATACACGTATCAAATTATCACACTGTATCCCATAAATATACTATTTTAATTAAAAATTTAAAATAATAATAGATTCTCAAAAAACAAGTAAATTCACTGTAATATAATTTAAAATAGAGGAAAAAGTAGAAACATCTAAAGTTGTCCATATAAATGCTATGCAGTGCTATATCATTATTTGAAATCGTATTTAGAAGAATATTTAATGACATAAGGAAATAACAGCATAAGCCATGTGAAGGAGGAGAGGGGATACAAATGAACATTCAGCATGATCCTGTGGTGTGTGTGTGTGTGTGTGTGTGTGTGTGTGTGTGTGTGCAGAACACAGGAAGAAGAAAATAGAGATATTAACAAAGTTGTCTCTACATCACGGGTTGACGAGTGACTTTCAATTTCTTATTTTTGTAATGAGTTTATCCTACTTTAAAGTCTAAAAAAAATCTTTTTAATTTGAAAGAAATAACTAATATTTAGGATAAATGGAGTACACACATTTATAAAATCCTACTAACAAGATGTAGAATTCTTTTCCCAACCGAAGTAAAAAAAAAAAAAAATTCCTCAGATGCCATGTGGACAGTCACAGCAGTGTTCAGTTTCAGGAAGACAAAAATAAAGCCTGAAAGTCTTTTCAGCCCTAAGTATTCTGAGCCCCAGTTTGATACTGAAAAGCAAACGTGTTTATCCTTTTCTCTGTGTCCAGTTAATTTTCATCCTTCCTTCTCTATCCCCCATCCTTTTTAAAACTGTCCAGATCTGTGGAACAAATGTTGAGCAAGCTGAAAATAAATAAGAGCCAATGGCTTTGAGATACCACAAAGCCCTCCCTTCCTGTGTACTAATGGCTACCCACCCGTTACACTTCCCAGAGCGGAGCAGAGCCTGAAAATTGCAAAGGTTGAAAAGAGGGGGAAAAAAAACCTTAGGAAGTCTGGAAAGATTGAGATACAATATGTAACTCTCCCTCTCCTGCCTTCTTAGCTTCACATAATATAAAGTGGTAGGCTCTGCTGGAAAAAAGAAAACTACTAAGTAAAAAGCCAGCCACCAAAGTAGATTCATTAAGAACCCTATTTCAGAGAAATTGCAAGCTTTAGACCTTTAGACCTGCAAGGAAAATATTCCAACAAATATTAGGATCCTTCCAAATACCTGCTACTGTGCTGATTCAAATGTTAGTTAAAAAAAAAAAACACTATGTGCCAATGCACACATTTTACAGATGATGAAACTAAAGCCTAGTGAGAGGTTGTGTACTGCTTTAAATCACAAGGTTTGTTGGCTAAAAAGTTAGGAGTAGGTCTTAGATGGTCTGTAAACTCTCAGGTAAAAAGATGGATTTTTCCAATATAATCTGTCCCTCAGCTCTGGATAGTCTAAATACTTACTGTGTACTCGTGTTTGAATGTTTTGCTAACAGCTCAAGCTATTCAGGTTCAAAATCAAACCTCATGACCTTCTGCTTGTTTCCTTTTACCCAGGATATAAACCTGAGTCTGTTTGCTTTTTATTCTCTCTACCTTCTCCCCACAGTCCATGATCCTGTCAATTCACCTTTAAAAAATACTTCAAGGTCTTACCCTACTGACAAGACAACACAACACAATGTTTTTTTCCCCTGTACTGGGAATTGAACCCAGAGCCTACATCCTCAGTGTTTCTTTTAATATATTTTATTTTTTATTGGTACATGTTTGCAGTAGCTAATGATTCCAATCCTCATAGGGAGTTGATACATGTATATAATATGTTTAAATTCTTTTCATCCTCTTCTCTCCTCATTTCCCCCCCATCTCTTGTTCACTTTCCTTTATGCAAAAGATCTATCCTCTAATTCTTCTTATCTTTTATTTTGCCTTTTATTTATATTTGGGGTTTCTTATGTAAGAGAAACCATGCGATATTTAAGCTTGTGCATGATTTATTTCACTTAAAATTATGGTCTCAAGGGCCGGGGATTTAGCTCAGTGGTTTTGCTGCCTTCCTTGCAAGCACAAGGTCCCGAGTTCGATCCCCAGTACCAAAAAAATCATGGTCTCAAGGTACATCAAATTTTGTATAAATGACTCAAATTTATCCTTCTTATGGCAGAGTAGTACTCCATTGTGTATAAATGCCACATTTTCTTTTTTTAATTAAACTATTTTATTGGTACATTGTAGGTATACAACACAATTACATTTCTCATTGGGAATTGTACCTTTACATAATGCATCTTGGTTCTTATTTTTTCCCCATTCCTAGCCCTCCGTTCATGCCCTCCACCCTTCCCTATTTACAAAGACTTTATTTCCATTTTTTCCATTTCTCAGCATATTTCCTTTCCCTTCTTTCCTTTCCCCTGCCCCTCCCACTACCCCTACCCCTTTGGACCTTTTCTTCCTAGTTTGCATTATCGATTATTCATTCTAATCATTGGTACATTTTAGGTATACAATATAATGACATTCATCATTGGACATTTGCACCTTTACATAAGCTCTCTTGGTTCTTGTTTTTCACCCTTGCCCAGCCCTCCCTTCAACCCCTCCATTCCTCCCTATTTACAAAGATTTTGTTCCTATTTTTCCACTTTCTCATGCTAACTCCATTGCCTTCTATCCTTTCCCCTACCCCTCCCACTTCCTTCCCCTTTGCCCCTTTTCTTCCTATTTCACATTACCTATTATACATTTTAGTCCTTACATACACTTTCAGTTTCTCACACCAGAGAAACTCTTCGGTATTTATACATGTGTGTCCTATTTATTTCACTTAAGACTATTGCCTCAATGTGCATCCATTTAGCTATAAATGTTTCTAATTTCTTATTTTTTATGGCTGAGTAGTACTCCATTTTATTAAAAAACCACATTTTCTTTATCCAGTCTCCAGTTGGTGGGCATTTGGGCTGTTTCCAAGTTTTAGCTATCACAAACTGTGCTGCTATGAACATGGGTGCACATATATCACTGTGGTATGATTCTTTTAATTCTTTTGGGAAGATCCTCAGCAGTGGAATAGCGGGGGTCAAATGGGACTTCCAGTCCTAGTTCTTTGAGGTATCTCCATACTGATTTCCACAGTGGTTGCACCAGTCTACACTCCCACCAGCAGTGGAGCAGGGTTCCTCTTTCCCCAAGGCCTGCCAGCATTTGTTATTGGTTGATTTCATGATAGCACCCATTCTTTCTGGAGTGAAGTGGAATCTCAGCGTTGTTTTCATTTGCATCTCTCGAATGACCAACATTTTCTTTATCCATTCATCTACTGATGGATATATAGGCTGCTTCCAAGATTTAGCTATTATAAATTGTGCTGCTATAATCATGGGTCACATGTATGATGTCTTTAACCCTTTGGGGAAGATACATAGAAGAGGAATATCTGAGTCAAGTAGAATTTTTAGTTTTAGTTTTTTGAGGGATCTCCATAGTGAATTCCATAGTGGTTGTACTAGTTTACAACCCCACCAACAATGTAGAAGGATTCCTTTTCCCCACGCCTCTCCAGCATTTGTTATTATTTGACTTCTTGATAGGCATTTGTTCTGAGTAAGATAGAATCTCAGCAGTTTTAATTTGCATTTCTCCAAAGACCAGAGAAATGAACATTTTTTCATGTATTTATTGGCCATTTGTACTTGTTCTGAGAAGTCTCTACTCATTTCAGTTGCCCATTTTTGGATTTAGTCTTTTATTTTGTGGGGTCTAATATTAAGAGTTCTTTATATATTTTAAATATTATTCTTCTGAGGAGTGGCTAGAAAAGATTCTCCCTGTTCTGTAGGTTGTCACTTCACCGTTCATTATTTCCTTTGCTGTGCAGAAACTTTTGAATTTCATATGATACCATTTGTTGATTCTTGATTTCTTGTGCAATTGGAGTTCTATTCAGAAAATCCTTGGCCATGCCTAGGTCCTGAAGAGTTTGACATAATTTATCTTCCAGCAGATTAAGTGTTTCTGTTTTAAGATGTGGATCCTTTATCCATTTTGATGTTAATTTAGTACATGGTGAGAGATATGGGTCTAGATTCAATCTTTTGCATGTGGATAGTCAGTTTTCCCAGCACCATTTTGTTAAAGAGGCTATCCTTCTTCCAGTATATGTTTTTGAGCCCTTTGGTCAAAGATTAGATAGCTGAATGTGCCTGGAGTTGTTTCTGCACCCTCTA